TTCGAGCTCGACAGACTCTAGCTGCTTTCATGGGCGCACTTCACCGTTTTAAAATGAATTAAGTCAAAGAGTGTTTTCCTCCGTCAAGCCTGTCAAAATAAGCTGCACTCTTTGTTTTAGTTCTCTGATGTGTAAGAAAATTTTTGGAGAATTATAATTCCATTATTGTACTTGGGGAACCAAGTCGATTTTTTGAGTGCATGGTCCATTATTTTTTTCATGTGCAAATCGCGTGTGAAGAAAACAGAATTGGAAAGTCCTCACCCCAAATCTGCTTTGGTATGAGTGATTGAGAAGCTTAAAGCCTCACAATTTGTTATAACACAAAGTAAAGGGTGTTCCTTTTTTGTACGGTCGAGGATTACACCTCAGTCTTTATTTATTTATTTTTATCCGAATAACTTCATTGCTTGCCTAATTTATTCGCTTTTCCTCTCTCTTCCTTGGTTCGTTGCGATCTCACTTCTCTGCATTATAATGTGTTGGAAGTTAAAGCAATTGTGTCACAGTTATTAAGCCACGCTTAGTCAATATTCTCAGCTGCAAATGTGACTTTTTATCTCAGATGAAGCAGAGCAAAAATGCTGAGAGAATTCTTTGACATTCCCTTGAAGCTTTGGGGAGCTTACTGACGTCTGTCATACTGCCTTATGTAAATATCCTGTTTTCTATCATAGCCACTCTTGCTTTTGTCCTTTTGAAGCAATAAGTAATATTCTGAGCGAGAAAATGCATTGCCCCTGCTGATTGTCATATTATTCTTTCATGAAGGGCCGTCCATGAAAATGACTAAGCAATATGTATGATCAACAGTTTATTCTATGAGTGCAACTTTTGGCTGTTCCCTGGGCTTTATAGCAGAGTTCATTATTCTAAGGCTGAAATAATAGGAAAAAATGTTCGTTAATGTGCATTTTAAACTTACACCATGTTCTTCATCATTTGGCAAACCGACCCAAAATAGAAAGATCTAAAAAAAATGGCAGTTCCACGAGATTGAAGGGATGATGTTTTGAATGGAGGCTGATCATAACCTTCAAAGGGGTCCAGCTAGTTGATCACTTCATCGCCCTGGAGAGATCTAAGCAAATCCTATCTGTATTAAGATTTATAAAACTTAGAATATGCTCTGTAGGTAGTTGGAGTGTAGCCCTAAACAGGAATGTTTGTCAGTTCCACCTAGCTAGTCACTTGGAGTTGGAAATATATAGTCGGGTCGATGGGTATTTTCCCTGTGACATTAGCCAGCCATAGACCATTTGTGGGAAACTTCCCAAGCAAAAGAAGAAAGAAGTTTTTTTTATAATAATGAACAGTTTGTTGTTTCTCGTTAAGTGTTAAGGGGTCTGCTGAGGACGTCGTCCATTGTTTGGCAGACTGTTAAAAAAAAAAAACCTCAGTCTGATCTTCGGGGGTTAAGTTTCACGGTAAATTGCTATATGTTATATCCTTAATATTGTCCAATTTGAAAGCTGGTACTTTTGTCGAATTTGTATTGTTTACACTCTAAGGTATTCATGTATTATTTATAACTGTCACAAATTTCGGAACACAGCGTTGGCCAACACCAAGGATAATGATCTCTTGATCGGAATTTGATCTGTGCGGCTTTTTAAAGGTCTTGGTCTCCTAGGTTTCTCGGCTAGAAGATGTAAACCCAAATTACTCCAGTTCTAAAATCAACAGTGAATTTTTCAGGCCACCGTTTTGTTTATCAGATAAGTGGACTTTCTCCATTGTTATTGACTCCCGTGGAGAGAAATGATATTCGATTCCAGCTCACAAAATCAAGTAGTGTATGAGTTATAGCTCGAAAAGGGTGAGTCATGATATCTTTTGATAATCTGCCAGATTATACAAAACTTAAAATATATATTTAAAAAATAATAATATAATATAGAAAGAACAAACAAAATTGATATACGTGTCCTAGTCTGCCTTTCCATATTTCGAATGAATTGTTGTCTGCTCGAAATGCCTGATCATAGTTATATGAAACGATCTTAGATGAAACGATGAGGCAGAGAATTACCATTTCAAGAAACTTAAACGGGCATTGCCTTCTTTGACTTATGAGCACTGAATTGTTCATAGAATAAATCTTGTCTACTATGGACACAGTTAGCTTGTGTAATCTTGCACTTCCTGTCAATATTTCAATTTTCAGAATAGGACATTAAGCAATGCCCCTTCTGACTGTCATCTGTTCTGTGCATTTTAGTTTGCTGAAAATATTGATATAAATATAATTCCACGCAAACAGTTCTTAACTTTAGTTGAATCGGGAATACACGCCGCGGATACAGAGCGTTGGTGTAGACATTACTTGACTGTATAACAAATGGATGATATTGTCCATCAAACCTCTTATTGGTTGCCCTTCCGTCAGGCAGTTTTTAATACATGGCCATAAATGTTTGTTTGTGACAGACCTATTTGACAATCAAATCACCCTTTAAGAATAGGTTTTGCGTGCGCCGTCTAAAACTGTAGGTGTGAAATTTTAATAGGATTTCTATCTGTCTTTTCGCTAAAAATTTCAAAAAGAGTTGCTTGAATGTTCCGTGTGTGGCGGTAGAGGCCTCTCTAAAATCCTCCCCATCTCGAACTCGGAAATGGTCTCCCCATCCAAGCTATTTTATGGATTTTTTGACAATAAGCTAAGCGATTAAATCTACAACTTTCACTTTCTTATTAACTGGACAAACTAACAGTGCTGAACGCATGTTCTGGTTCACTTTTTCAGCTAGTCTGAAGAAACTCTTGCGTTAGTGATCATAGTTCTTCTCGAAGCAAGGTGGACGCCATTTTTGACCATTTTTGACAATTAGACGAACATTTAGGTGCCTGAAATGCGGCAGAGGTATTTTCTGGGTTTGACCCTTGGATATCTAAGATTTTGAAGACAAAAAACGCAAATGGGTGTGTGTCACTGGAGTAATATACTAAAAAACGACTGAAACTGACTTCGGTTGGTCGACTGAAGTTGGAAAACGCAGTCATGGCGGTGATTATTTTTAATATTAACAGCTTTTGTGATATTTTTTGGATACACTTAAACACTCCTGTGTATTCTTAGAATTTTACTGAACCAGCAATTGAAATTTGTCAGTTCATTAGAAAGTCAGAAACTGTCTGAAATTTTAGGCTAAACAGGGTCTTGTATGGAGAGGGTCTAATTGGCTAGTTCTAGCTCCTACTTGCGGGTTGTTACCTTTAAACGGGGTAGTAATTTACCCTATAATAACTTTATACAACGGCTTTAAAAGATTGAGGTGAAAATATTGTCAAACCAGTTTGCTAAGGCCTAAGAGAACGCATACAGATTTGGAAGCTTTAAACTTCTAAATTTTTATTTGAAAATAAAAGAACGTGTATGGACATTTATAGAGGCCCTTACACGCTTTCAGTTGACATTAAAGGGTTTTCGCTCAACTGAATATCAGCAGAAAAATCTTATGATCTTGGGTGCAACGTGGAACGTCTCACTAGTGGGAACCTGTATTTTTTAATGTAGTCTCAACCAAGTCACGTGAAAGAGGCAATTCACGTGAACGACTTACAATCTACGTGATTGCAGTCTAGATTCTCAAGGTATTACTGATCGAGATAGCGAGCTACAATTAAATGCACTGTAGGTGGGTTTTAAGCTATTGGCTGCGACAATTATGATACAAAATCACAACTTATTTGTTTGAGGTAGTATCATTTACGATCTGTACTGACGTGGAATGTGTTTGTACTCCCTTAAATTTGCCAGTTTTTTCCCTCGACAGAAACAAGAATAGAATGTGTAAATGTTTTAGAAATCCCAATTTTTTTTCGAAAACGAAGGCATTGACTTTTTTTCTATAAAGATCTAACAAATAAAATTTTACCAAAGAGAAATTACTACCAAATGAAAGTGAATTACAAGGACCTTTTACCAATTAAACGTTTGACCAAATTTTAATGCCTTATTCGGTTTGCAGAAAATTAAGACTTCTTCTGAAACATTTTTAAAAATCACGAACTATTAAAACTCGTTTAGGCAAACTTCTAGTCATTAGACTTTGCGTGACCTGTGGGTGCATATGTTTGACTGAAATCCTCTGAATCCTACTTGACTGAATTAAAAAAAAAAAAAACAGTATTTAGCAGCACTCCGACTTACTGAAACATGCTGTATTGTGGTTTTCAAGTTTTATCTAACATTCTGAGCTTGGACATGAAGTCATTCATACAGAGTTGGCATTTGTAGTCATCAAGCATTATCGAACTGGTCGATGGCTTGCTTGCATGACAAGATTTGAGCTGTCAGAGCAAAAGTGAAGCGTCAGTATTTTTTACTAAGACTTGTCTTTGTTACGACAGGTGGCTCCGACCTTTGAGTAAAGAGCTGAAATGTTAGCTGATTAACTCTTCAAAGTACTGTCAGCTTAATAAATAAGTTTAGTTATGGTGGATCTAGTTTGAACAACGTACTTTCAAACAGCTTAACTCAAAAAAAAAAAATTATGGACTTCTTTTTTTATGTATTGACGTGTTTGACTTAAAGAAAACACATCTTCTATTTTGAAATGGAGATATATCTTGCTGTCGAAAACGATAGTTGCTGTTCTGACGTTTTTGACTTCGCATTGTGAACCAAGTTCTTGAACTGAAATGAAGAGCGTCTTCCTAATTTTTTCCCCTTTAAGCACTAAATTATTTGAAAATTATTTTACTAGGTTTTTCAATACTTCCTCCATAAATAATCTATTTCAGTACAATTCCCTTCATATATGTTTTTAAATAATATTTTAAGATGCAGAAATTGAAACTATGTAACACATAGGTCCATGCATAGATGTTGCCATTTTAACGGAAGATATTCCGGGTAAGTCTCCTGTGCCAACTCTTAGCTTTGCTGCACAGGGAGGCTACTTAATCGTGTCAGTAGGAGGGCAAAAATTTATTAAGCTTACGTGTTTTCTTTAAAAGTATTTGAATACTAATTTCATGTGATATTCTCTTGGTATAGATCCAGCTATTAAGTTTGGGCGTAGAACCCTTGAGTGTGACATCATTTTGTAAGTCCTTGAGGTATACTGTCTTTAACATTGTTTATCTAATCACTTACAATGAATTACTGTGGCAGCATGGATGGAACCTGTGACTTATCAAGTAGAAGTCATCGGGTAGTACCTTTGTTTTTTTTTTTTTATTATTATTATTTATATAATTTTTTCCTTGTGTAATTTCGTTATCTACAACTTGGTTAGACTTTGTGTGAAAAACGTTGAGTCTAGGTGACACTATCCTGCTGAATAATTCTAACCACTGGCCATCATCATGACTTCCAACGTCGGTTTGTCATTAAAATTCGGAAGTGTGCTTTCAACAGTAAACAGCAAACCATTTCCTTCTTATGGCATTGTTCGAACTTTAGCCCCCTGTATCAGGGAGGTAATGGGTTAGACGGAGAACACGAAATTTACTCGTGACGACAACGAGAAAATAGAAATTAATTGTTGAATCAATTTTAGGTCAAAAATTGGGGGCCAGTTTAAACACGCCCCATTTCCACACATTCCCCAATAAAATCGCGTGCCCACAAACAACTCAAACTAGTCTTCAAGCTGACACCTGTGGAGCTGTTGTAAAGAAAACAGTCCATTGTACTTACTGCCTACGTATTTTTTTCTTTTTGTTTTAGAAGAAAGGCCTGCTTCATCCTTTGGCGTCTGCCAAAATGCAGCCTTTTCGAAGGGAAAGACACAACAAACCCCACAAGTGCAGGAGCTGCCCCAAGTCGTTCAAAAGTTCTAATGGTTTGAAATACCATTTGGATAAGGTTCACATTGATGAGAAAATCAAGATGGAGACTGAATGTGCAGAAGGTACAAAAAGCATTTTCGGCAGCTCTTTGTTTTTAGGCTTAACAAGCCGGGTTTTTTTATACTTTGATCTCAGCAAAGGTATAGTGTCCTTACACGAGCGATTGTCACTGATAAACCCAGAGCATACACTAAGCTACAGTTCGTAAAGTACCTCGATCAAAATTAAGAAAACTAAAACTGCGGGTACAGCTTTTTATAACTGCCAATTCTCAAGCTTACTTTCTAACGGTATGACCAGCCGCCAGCTTGTTCCTAGTTCGACTTCTCGTCTGCCTGATAAGGGCGGATCCTTATCGCACACAGCAGACAGCTGATCAGTGTCTCTTTCATAACTGCGGTTTGTTCGCTTGTCATCAATTCAGTAAAATAATGGTTAAGTCATGATACAGTTTATAATTGTTAACTGATGATATTTTTAGTGGCTTATAAGTTTATCAAGATCTAGATATATAAATCATCAAGGTATTCTGCCTTGCGTTTGTTGCTTTTCGGTCATATTCCTAAAGCTTCGAATGAGGTAGTTTCGCTTCAATTTCGTGATGACCAGTTTTTGGTGGCTAAGATTTCCCAAACAATACTTTTGAACATGTTTTCAGACCTTTAAATTTTAAAAGATACCAGATGTAACTGCCTTCTAGACCGAGACTTCAGCTGATAAAGATCTATCAGTGGCGAGACAAAGTGCCAAACAAAAAAAAATATAATAATAGTAATTAAAAAAAGCATTTGCAAAGTGTCTCAAAATTGTCCCGCCAGCGCTAGTATAAATCAAACGCTGCTTTTTTGTTGTGTTGTGTTTTATTTAGTTTTCTTTTGTTTTGCCTCTTTTTTGATCATTGTATCAAATTGTATTTCGACGAGTCCGTTGGCTTTCTTTTCTATCGTTTAATCACAATTATAAAATTCAATAATAAACTAGTCACAATCAACTTTGAGAGCAGTAAGTACAAAAAAGATTTTCATCTTTCTCCTCCAAATATTTTGTTAGTAAGCCATGTAAACAGCTCAAAGAAATTTTGAACACGCCCTCAATTGTGCAATAAAAGGAATTACTCATGTTTCCGCGCTCCTTCGAGGACTACGCTTGGTATTTTTAGGTGATAAAATTGCTATTTTTGGTTATCAGATCGGAAGGTCTAGTTCAGACTATATCTACTCGTGAAGCGAAAGTACCGGCCCACAAACATTTCTTTCAAAGGCCATTGGTGAGCTTGCCAAGTTTAGGATCCCTACAGCGATAGTCTCATGCCAAGTGTTGAGATGTGCTGTGGTTAATCTTTAGCCAAGCTTTAAGGGGAATTTCCCTGTTGTTTCATTTCTTATTAGTTTTGGTAATTCAGATGGTGTTTATCGTATTTATTTACCCACAAATGATGAATATGCCCGGGCCAGACAATTTAGTGGTGGCTGTGAGGGACGTTTCTTTTTGTCATCCAGTGCCCATTTATCTGTCACGCGCCTTTTGGGTTTTTGTTCGCTTTGAAAGGGAACTCGTTCAAAAAAGCTCGAACTAATGGTTCAATTTTTTTGGCTGTTTTTCGTGTTGTTTTCCAATCTGTAATCCCCATTAGGAAGAAAAAAAAAAACAATGAAAAGCAATAAACAGTTGGTAATACTAAATTCAACAATCTTCCGAGAAGAAGATGAACGCCATGAGTATGATTTTTAGCTTAAATCCATAACCTTATTTAAGCTTGAGACAACTTACCAATGACACGGTCAGTTCCTGAAAGAAAGTTAGTCATTTGTTTTTTTCTTTCTTTCTTTCTTTCTTTCTTTCTTTCTTTTTTGTTTGTTTGTTTGTTTGTTTTGCTCTCTCTCTCTCTCTCTTTCTCTCCGTTAATAGCTTCACCATTGTTGAACTTTGCTATCCGGAAAGAATCATTTAATATAATTCAGTCTTTTGACGGCTGACTTAAAGGCACTTAAAAGCATCTAAAGGCCATCTTTGAGTGTGATTACTCCAGCTCACAAATGTTGTAAATGTAAAGTCAAGTAGGGAAGCGTTTATTAAGCTTTTAATTGAGTCACTGGACGCAAGGGTGACCCTGTCCTCCTTATTATGCGATAATGGTCTTTCGCATTTCACCCATTTTACCCACTAAGCTGAGTTTTGCGAAAGTAATGGTTGGAGTGAATTTATTAATTAAGAAGTGCCTCTGTTTTCTAACAAAGTATTAGTGCGCTTCCCGAAATTACAATAGGTGAGAAGATCCCTACGTCCGTTCAGGGAAAGAATTTCCCTGAGATAAAAACTTTCACCTTTCTCGAGCTCCGCTACTCCTGGCGCGTACTCGCTAGCAGATTGACCACGATTATATTCGATGTCATTGGCCGTTTAGGACTCAAGGCTTTCAGTTAAAAAAACACGATTGAGAAAGATTTGTTTGCAAATCCCTGACATGTCTCTACATGCACAGATCTTTACTTTTTTATTCCTTTGTTTACTTCAGACTTAAAGGCAGTTTTTAAAAAGTTTTAATGCACAACTTATCTCATCAACTTATCCTATCTCAGAGTTTTTAGCAACACAGTGACAAATGAAAAGAAAAAAGAAAAAAAAAAGCAATTGTTATTATAATAAGACAGAATGAAAGAAAAGGGAGAAAATGTTGCTGCATTTGTTCATCTTGATCTTTTTTACTTAGTTCTCGACACGTTCATTGTTGTGGTGTTTTGACGACATATTTGTATGTCTATCAAATTTATAGACACATTCTTGGATCTCTGATTTCGTCTTGTTCGACATTTCTTAAGGGATTAAGCATTCGAGTCGTTTATCATGAGGATACAAAGAAGGGGGATTAATATAAACAGCTTCTTAACGGTGTCGAATTTTTGTTTTCTACGCAGAAAAACCGAGAGGAATGCAAAACAAACCTCGCTCTATCCCTCCAGCTTTGGACTTGTCTCCAGAGGTCAACCTGCTCAAAGAATTTGCTGTCATTGCCACAAGTCCTCAGAGCCCATTAGTGCAAGAGGTCAGCGGTGAAAGCATGGATGTCAGGTGCAGCGATGGCGATATTCCCCATCCTCAGGTAACAAACCCAAAGCAAATGATATGTCGTCTGCATTAAGTAGCTGTGTTGAAATTTCGGCACAAACGCAGTGAATTCTGAGGAATTTTTTGGTCGTACATTTCTTCTCTTGGATACAGACAAGTTTTCCTTATAAAGAGTGTGCAACTCTGATGTTTATTGACAGACTTCTTTTCGCAAAGAATAACTTAAGAATGCTTATTAAAATTAAATAGGAAATCAGTGATTTTTAGTAATCCAGCTTTTCATTCCCTTTGATACTGGGAACTATGCTCAAATAACAGTGAATAACTCTCATATTAGTCGATCATACGGGTTAAAGTACGTTTCTGTAAACTGAATAAAATATAATGAGAATGACTAGGGGGTAGATGGTTGGGTCTTGGAACCACATTTTAATTAGAGCTTTTTTCCAAGTCTGAATGAAATCCATCCAAATTATTTTAGTCCTCTCATTCCCTTGATACGTGGTTCTTTGCCAGGAAAAGACTGAGCAAATGTCTTATAAGTCGTACGTGTCACTTTCGCCAATCGCTCCGCCAAACACCCCGGAGGGGCACCGTAAATCCTCTATTAAGCCCCCCTCAAATGACCCCCCCCCCCCTTTTCAGAGGAGAAAAGTTAATAAGCCTCGCCCCCCCTCCATCCTTATTCTTCACAAACAATTAACGTGGACTGATCAGTTATGGTTTATTCAGGCTAGAAATTCATAATGTTTTTGGTCTTCAGCCGCATGACCTCCAACGTCATGTGTTTAACTTTTTCAACTTGTTATCATTTTCTTATTGTTAGAAAAAGCAGTATAACGCTCAAGAACCACAAGTCCGTTCTCGAGAAACCTTGTTTCCTTTGATGCGTTTCGCGAAATTAAATAAGCCCCCCTCCTCTCATTTCCTTGTATGTGCAAGGTTGAAACGACTTTGAACCGGTTTCCAGCTTCAGAGCCTTTTACTCATTTCTTACCATTACCTTGCTAGGATTTTCAACCCAGAGAATGGCCATGTGTCTCACAGTACATCCCAGATTCTCCAACGCAGACACTGTTGCAAGCCTTGTCTGCGGCAAAATGGCGATGCTTTTTGGCCGCGACCCGGATAAATTTCCCAGGTGAAGACGGATGGACCTGGAAAACCATAGATGATATTGGGATGGAGGGAATATCCGAGGATCTCTTCCAGCATGGACTTCGGGTGGTCGATATTGAAAGGATTACGAGAAGACATGACGAAAACAGCGTATGTTGCCTTTTTTAATTGGAATTTTTTATTGCTTGTCCGATGGTAAAAAAACGTTTTAATTTCGTAAAAAAGCTAGTGGGAAGTGTTTTCAGTAGCGAATTTTGAAGTGCTACACTATCATTTTCTGTCAAGTTTTTTGTAAACCTATATAGCTGGCAAGCGTCCGCCGCTCTCTGAATTTTCTGGATCCGCCCCTGTCTCAATACCACGTTAACATTGCGGTCAATAGTGCAGAAAAATCACCCAGTTGCTTTATTTTCAGGATGAGTTTATTGTATCTTTCCAATCGTGCAACAACGAGCAGACGAGCCTACAGGCTGAGATAACCGCTCACCATCCATTCTACGTCAAAGGAAAAGATGGGGAATTTTGGGCGTCACTCAATCCTTGCTCAAGCGAGTTACACCACGGAATAAGCTGTCAGCCGCTTGAATGTGGTGATGTTTGTATGTTGCCGTATGGTCGGGATGTTGTCGGATATCTTAGTGGGACGCAGTGGGATACGGACAAAACCTCGTAAGTACTTGCACCGGAAACGCAATTCCCCCTTTCATATCTCATGTCTCTCAGTATTGTCTTATTTCCTCTCTTTTTTTGTGGTGTGTGGTATAGAGTAACGTTCTTGCCCTGTCTTGGCATGTCTTCCCCTTTCGAGAAACTATTAGGGGAATGGGTACAAGCTTTGGGCGCTACGATTTCTGGGATCATTTGGGTGGGCGAGCGTTACTTTTGATTAGTTAATAGTTGCCTCGAAGACCATCAACCAATCATAACTAACGCTTGTCTTGTCTACCCGAACGATCCCAGAAGTAGTCACTGTGCCCAAAGCTTGCACCCATTCTCCCTAGAGCAGTTTCTGAACTGGGAAGTTTACGAGATTCAGATCACGAAACTTAGCAAACACAACTTATTTTCAGGTCTGAGTTCACCGCGATGTCAACCGCTGCACTGACGCTGAGCTGTATGGCCAAGGTATGTAAGTCTCTTAAGTTTTGGTGAGTGTTAACGTAAGGTTCACAAGACACCCGCATTTAGCGAATACATAATAAGTTTATTTCTTTGTGATCTCAAGGAACGCAAAATATCTTTCATGAAATTTTATGCCAAGTTTTATCCTTAAGGTTCTCTACAGTACCCTTCCTTCAACCTGATACATCGTGACTACAGCATTTGAGACAATTTTAATACAAATGTCCGTTTTTAAATCTATTTTCAAACGTAAAAGGATAAACAAGAGCACAGACATCGCCGAAGCAAGCTTCTCTCTGAGTCACGATGTCCCGGAAGCATGATGAAAAGAAGCAGCATGCAACAGTTCTCTAAGAGACCTATGAATGCCTTCATGCTATTTGCCAAGCGCTTTCGAGTGGAAATCACTCAAGCCCATCCTGGAAAAGACAACAGGTAAGAAATTTAGTGGGCGCAAATCCCAAGGTCTCTTTAACATAAAAGAAAAATATGTCATATCCTACTGTTATTATTATTATCATCATTATTATTATTATTATTATTATTATTATTATTATTATTATTATTATTATTATTATTATTATTGCTCCAGTGAGAAATCCGATTGACAGTAAAATTTTCCAAACGGTAACTGGACATCTGGAAAGACCTTCTGGCCAAACACCGATTACTTTGACTTTAAATACGAGATCAAACGAATTTGTAGTTGTCGATCAGTTTAAGTCATCCCAATAGTAACTGGTGCACTGGGAACAGTTTCGAGAGGATTTGGAGGGTGGCTGAGACAGTTGGGAATGCCACATTGCATGGAACGTTTATCGCGAAGACCTTATTGGTGTGCTAGATAGTTAATCATATTAAGGACAGAACAGATGGCACGGAGTATCCTAGGTCACAGGCTGTGACCTGATACTTTGCGACATATTTTGCATAACGTAATGATAGACCTATAATAATGATCATGATAATGATAATAATATACTAATAACGACAACGATGAAGTTAAAAAGGCGGAAAAGAAAAAAAAGAAATTTAAATAAAGAAATCTGGGGTAGCTTGGTTATACTTTTGACATTGTGTGAAAACCTGAAGTGTAAACTCTTTTATCAGAGCAATTAGTGTGATCCTTGGTGACAAGTGGAAAGCCATGAACCAAGAAGATCGCAAAGAATACGTGATACAAGCAAAGCTCTTGGCAGATGAACACAAAAGAGTTAATCCAGACTGTTGGAAAAGGAAACGAAACTCGGAGGTAACTGGCGTTCAATTCCATTAGTATAGGATTTAAGAACGAGAAGTCCAAAGACTACAGCAAAGCTGATTTAAAACAACGTGTATTGTTTTTTATAACAATATTTCTGCTGGCCATACCAGCCTTCTTCAGGTTTACAGATGTTATGTTATAGGATTTGTAGGCACCAACTAAAACTGAAACCAAGTTGCTAGAGGACATTTCCCTAGTGCCCTCGCCCCTCCCCTCCCCCAACAAATTAATTATAATTATAAAATAATCAATTTATTAAATAACCAGACGTGTGATTTAATTAGCGTATAATAAACCTACCGTAATCTTGAACAGGTATAAATAAATTTTTCTATTGACTCCCTTTGCCTTACTTTTCTTTAGAGGACTTTTCATTTGTGCTTTCGTCCCTCCTCTCCCTCAACAAATTAGTATAGGTAATAGCATGATTAGTAGTGATATTTGGCATAAACACCACGAGTGACATTTCGAAATTGTTATATAAATTTGAGACAATTTTGAAATATCACTCGTTTTGTTTATGCAAAATATTACCAACAAATCATGCTATTATTTGTTTATACTACTACCCACAAACGGTTTGTAATTTTCACATGTAGGTATTTCAGTTAAGCTGAAATACCACTGCTCTGAGCCAATCAAATTGCAGAAATTTCTCATGTAGTAGTATAAATTAATTAATTAATTAATTAATTTATTGAATAACCAGACGTGTGATTTAGCATATAAAGAACCTACCCTAATCTTGATATAAATAAATCTTTCTATTGACTCCCTTTGCCTTACATTTCCTCAGAGGACTTTATCTCTCCTTAAACCAATTATGTAATTAATTATGATAATTAATTAATCAATTTATCAAATAACCAGACGTTTGAAGAAGCCTTTAATAAACCTACAATGATGTGGATATGTGTTAAATCTTTTTGCCTTTAGCTTTTTTGTTTTTCTTTCAGGGGTCATCCAAGATAAGTTACCGACGGCCATAAAGGAGTGCTTTCTTTTTTGATCTTTAGATGATAATATATATTTTTTCCTAGATGTTTTGTAATATATTATATTGTATATTTTCGCTAGCCCAACTGTATTTTGTTTTTTTTCGTATGAGAAAATGATGCAAGTCATACTATGTATGGCGTATTTAATGGCATTCTAAGGTGTAAATAGTTTAACTTAGTTGTGAAATGCTTTTATTTGGGTAATGATTTCTATAGAACAACGAAAAAAATAAGTTATTAGTTAAACATGTGAATTGCAGCAACTTAAAGTAAAAGCAAAGGCTCTAAAGAATGTATCGCGTGTCTTTGATTCTTTGTATCTTTTTAAGTCATTCCCTTTTCTGAAAAACCACAATCTAAGAAATAAAAAGATGTAGCATATCTACTATACGATAACAACCTTTCCAGCATGGAAAGCAAAGGCTGAAATAGAACACTTCAGCCTTGAAAAACTACTAAACACGTGACTTGAAGTCCAAACAAGCAACACTGATAGTCTTTAAAAGTCGCAAGGTCTTTTCAAAATCTCAGCCTTGGATTTATTATTAAGATATTCTTGAAATTTCGCAAATTTCAGCCTCAATATTCTTGTAAAACATATTCTTATAAAAAGAAAAGACCGTATTGAGAATGCTTGAACTCATCTACTCAGAAAAGGTAAATATTTTTGAACAATGATTTCTATATTAATGAATCCATTAGCAGCTAGTCAGTCTACCAGGGAGGGTTACACGGGTCAACGACCCCGCGTGTGGGGCTCTACATTAGCCTGTAGCTTTCATTGTCAATTCAAGCGCTAATAAAGATCGGTTATTGATCTATAAATCCAGAGATAAATTACAACTCAAATAGATTGGCAGAAACTCTTAATTCTCACAATACAACACTGTTAGTCGGGTGGGCATGGTAGTCTGGCATTGATCCCTTGTTGTCCTTTAAATTTATGTTAATATTGCGTGTGAGGAAGTGTATTATGACTGTCCACGTAGTAAACACAAACTCATGCTAATTTGTCACGATCAAAATTGCGCAACCAAACAATAGTACAAAGATCAAAACAGATGATAAAGGTAGCCAGCCGTCCCTTATTCAGTCTTGAAATGATGAAAAGATGCGCAATAATTTTCACTGTTTTTTTCTTCTCGATATAAATGCATATTACACCTCAAAGTAGAACTGCAAGAGGGTAATATTATACTTCAGGAAGTAATAAGGATAATTTGCCTCAAACAATACAAAGAATATAAATCAGTTTTGCGGAAGTTAATAACTTTTGGTTTCGAAAACGACGACAAACATTTTCCGCCATTTTTTTAAACTTTTTTTGCGTTTTGCTACGGAATGACGTTTTAAAGTAAACACAAGAACATTGTTCAGTTCATTATATGACTTCACTTGTTAAGTGAAAAGTTAAATTCCTTACAAATTGTATACAGTTCGTGAGCGGAATGATTTGTTTGGGGTCAAAATCCAGAGTTGTGGCCATTCTAGAAAACAATCTGTCGCCGCTCTGTGTTTTAAGCATTCTATTTTTATCACTCTAAACATAGTTCAGATTTCATTAAGAAATTGATTGTAATTTGAGACACTCAAAGATACCTTAGAGAGTGACTCCTAATCTTCATCTTCTTGAAGTCGAAATTGGAGAAGAAAATAAGACTAAATTTCATTTTTTGAAAGACTGAATATCGGCCTTACGAAATTTCGATTGCATGGAGATATTTCCGTCAAATAGCCCATACAAAAGGTCTCCTCTTGTCAGATCTATAATGGTAATTGAACTGAGTGGAGATGTCAGTGGAATGCATTTGGTCTGAAATCATACGCGTGATTTCAAAATCGAACGAGCGAGTAGTGCGAGTTCTACTTGAAATCACAAGTCTGATTTGAGATCAAAATTGCATGGCACGAAGTTCAATTACCACTTTATTACAGCCATATTCAGTCAGAACCAATATTTTATTGACCAAGTAGCCGGTTCGTTGAAAAGCGGAAGCAAAAAAGCTTTTTACATCTTTTACATCGTTATGAAATCAAAAAAGGATTACATCTCATTTTGTATTAGAAACAGAAATGATGCGATTTGGAACATGAATGACGCGATTTATGAAAGATGTGATTTAGAGGAGAAAATAGTGTGAATTGTGAACAAGACACACTGCTGAGATCCAATCAGATTCCAGGGATCACCAGTGATTTCAAAATGGATATAATAAATAATTTTATCCGCTGTACATATCACGTCTCCATCAGGCGTCATATATCCAACCCAGCACTGGAAGGGGTGTTTCATGGGTCCATTGACACAAAAGCCAAACTGTGTACTACCGCGTCAATGAGAAACGTCGCCTGTTATAAATCAGAGGAATTTGCTCATGTGACTCGCCATATTTGGTTATCAGATGAAACATGCATAAGCCGATGTTGAGACTTCTGAATATGGCTTTCATTTCCATTTCGGTGTCGATAAAGTATCTATCCAATTTTTTTTTTTTTTTTTTTTTTTTTTTTGGGGGGGGGGGGAGCAAAATTCAAAGGAAACCTTTTCTTTGTTTTATAAATTGTCTTATGAAAACACTGAAAACACAATGTAGAGTGATCGACTTGTTCATAACCATACGTTTGGACAAGAAGAATTCATCAGTCGTTGTTGTTACATCTCTAAATAGAATACAAAGAAGAAATATAATTCGCCAAAGCATGCTGAAGACATTTTACCTTATTTAATATTATTAAAGAAACGAAGATTGCGGAAGTTAATAGCTTTTGGGTTTGGAAGTGACAACTAAACATTTACTGTTTTCTTTTCTAGACAAATATCGTATTACTTTATTCATTTGGAGACTCTATGGTAAGCAAGGGCCAATTTGTGGGTCTCGACTGGAACCGCATCACGCGGCTACACAGCCAAGTAATGATAGGCACACAAGAAGTGAAGAACTCACTAACAGCATCGCGCTGCCACCTTAAAGCATATCCAAGATGCGGCCAACCAACCTCCAAAGTGAGTATATTGAAGATGAAACAACAACAACATGATATTAATTTGAGGAGGAGTCGGAAAAAAAATCCGAGTCCCAGATGGGATTTGAACCCACGACCCTCCGTGATTTGATCACTTTTAATCAGAAATTTGTTTAAAAAGTTTAGTTCTTTTTCGAATTATATGCAGTGTACAATGTGTTTACCTAATACTGTTCGTGAGTAGAATGATAATTTATTTAGGGTCACAAATAGTCGTGTGGATATTCTAGGAAGCAACGAGCAGTCCATACTTTTGGTACTCCTTTTTTATCACTTTAAATATATAGCTATCGGTTATTAGATGGAAAATTGAACTTAATTGTTGACAGGCATCCCTTATGTCGTTTGCCTTATGTCAAAATCAGAGAAATAAAATATCTCGTTTTTGAAATCATATGACAATCAAAAGTGTTTTTGTTGTTGTTGTTGTAAATAGTAAATTCAGCATCGCTACATGAAAATTCCCTTCGTCAGATCCGGTCTGACCGGGTTTCGTCAGCTTTCGATCGGAAGTAATGCCCCTATCGTCTAAGAACGATTAACAACATGAATATATTTCTTTTCAATGGTAACATCAAAGTGTTTTTCTTTTGTTGGCTTTTAAATTTGGACTGACTACGTGGGACTGCTTATTGGTATAACTGGCCTAGTAGCCTAGTATATTAAACACAAGAAAGACTGTTTTATTAGATTTATGACAGCGAGACTGAGTACAACCGCGTCAAAGGGATTACTTTTGATTACTGATTTAGATAAAGATTTAACTGTGACTCTCTGTATTTGAATATCAGTAGAAACGCAATTTCTAAGTCAAACCAATGTTGAGTCCTGCCAGTGGAGGTTTCTTTCTGGCATAGCTTTTCATGGCATTTATTAAGTAGTTCGTGTGGCTTGTCAATCGCGATTATTTACTACGCGACTAACAGCCGCCCAAGCGACTTACCAAATGCTAAAAGCCATGCTAGAAAGAAAGTTCTGCTCGCAAGGGTACTTGAGTATAGCCTTCGTTCCAGATACTGAGCTGTGATATTCATTGTTTGATATATCATTATTTCCCGAATGACCGACCATTTTTAAAAATCAAAACTCAGTCTTTTATTATGACTTTCAGATCACATCAAGTACTTATTTTCTCTTTTTTTTCTAAACATTGTAGAGAAAAGAAGGGTAAATTTAAGTAGGCTGCGGGTATTACTGCCATATTTAGCATCTCCAGCTTAAAATAGAAGCGCACTACGATGATATTTTGTGTGGATGTCAGTCATGTATGAGTTCTTTTCTAAGAGTGGGACCAAACATCTAGAATTCTTTACCCTCAGATATGAGAAACTAACCAAAATCTACCTTAATTTCTGCGAAAAAAAGAAATAAGCTCTTTGAAATCTTATCTAAATCTGATGACTATTTTGAAATCACTGAAATTATGCATCAGTTTAATTTTAACTAGCTCAGGAACACGTAAACACCGAAAAACTTAGCTACAGTTGTTATTGCTTCAGCTTTTTTAGCTCAAAGGCCTGGAATTGTTATGTGTAGAATGGCCTGATGAAGATCCTTTCTTCCAAAACTGTTCGTGTTCACATTCTGTGAAGGTTTACAGTTTAAAGCAACTTACGTGACTGTACAAGCTTTTAGTTTACAACAGTAATGTTCACACAAAGGAGGTCCATAGTTGCTTTGTTTATTAACAAGGCTAAATGAACTAAACAAGGGCCTTACCAAACAAAATGTTCGATGCACAGACAGTTAACTAGCCCATGCACGGTGACGAGTCACTTTCGTTTTGGTAATTAGTAAGACCAGGAACCAATAATTTGTTGAATAAAATTTCTGCTTAGCGGGAGTAAATGCGGTTTCATGTACGATATAGCTTCTTCAAGGAAGAAGCGGCCGACTGGGGAATGAAATTAGTTTTTTTTTTTAATTTTCCTGCCGTGTATGTTAGCTAGTGGTCAAAAATAAATTGTGCTATTAATTAGGATAGTATCCGATTCATTTGCCGAATTTGTCTCGGACATATTTGTTAACCAAACAACAGGAAGAGCGGTAATATGTGGAAAATCAAGACAGTTAAGGTTGAGATTTAAGCAATAGAAAACGTTTTCCGTGTTTGCATAGCCTGATAGAATTATATCAGGCTATGCAAACACAGGAGAAAAGTTTTCTATTGCTTTTATAAAATAACTTTCCCGAGAAAATAAACGTAAAACTCTTTGTATGGCACTGATTAAAAGAGAAATTCTTACCAGTCACAAAATCTTGTCCACGAAGTCTTGCACGCATAATCAGTTCTTGTTTTGCAAAAAGATGCGTTGCAAAATACGGATTTTTCTCGCTTAAATGTCAGCTTAAGCGAGGAAAAAACCTTCTTTGTGACGATTTTCCAAGTTTCAGCCGACGAAGGAATGGGTAAATAAAGTAAACTTGTGGAGTTTTGAACTCGAAAACTTTTTCAAATTTGTGCTTGAGTGATAAGCGCGCGAAAAGCCAAACAACTTGACGCCACAACCATGTTTACATACTCTCATGCAAACACTCCTCTCGGCCAATCAGAGCGCGCGCACTATCTTAGTTATTTTATAAAACCGCTTGCATTAGACTGATGGACACTTACAAAATGATTATATGTTAAAGCCTTGGGTAAGCCCAAAGAAAGTACCAGCAAAGTTCTAGTGATGTTCTTAGGTCGTATTGCTTAAAGTTGTCTCTGACTTCTTAGGATCGGGTGTAATAGCTCTACGTGATTGGTGTGACGTCAGGGAATGCCGCCCTTGAAATTGGAAGTCGTGTTTGCGCAACATCAGAAGAGATGTAAGGTACAACAGAGTCAACCAACATCAGAAGAAAGCTGACCGTGAATCACAACACGCAAGCAAATTTGTCCAAAGGAAGAAGAAACTTAACTAACCAAAGATGATTTACTCTTTTAATGTGTGGCAGCTGGCTTTAGTAATTTCAAGTTTTCTATCAACATCAGCAATTTCCCACACGGACGCAGGTAAGGTTAATTCTCTTTTTGTTTGGAAATTTTCAACTTCCTCTTTTACAAGAAGCCAAGTAATGTTCTTTGCGAAGCTCTTTCTTAAAATACTTTACTGTTACTTTTAGTTGTTTATGCTGCTACAAGCAAAAGGAGTTTATGTGGGCTCATTGCCTTAATCTCTGTTTAGGAACTAACCGATATTGAAAATTGTTGGTTTTGCGCGCTTTAGCTCAAAAAGGAATGAATAACTTTATTAAACAAAGGAAAATCTCTCATTGTTGTGGGATTCTTACGAGCTTTCTATTCAATGACTGGCTTGACGCCTCTACATATCTATAAGGAGACATGTCAGTTATTTAATATATTCTTTCCACCAAGAGACTATAAAGGGGACAGAGAGGGCATCCCCTATGTACACCCTATTCCACAGGTAATTCGTCTCGAGTTATTTTTAACACCACAGATCTCAAGGGGGAATAGACAACAGCCAATCACATAGCGCGAATGTGTTCCGCGTGGATGACCCACGCTGAGAGCCACGCGTCCTTCACGAAATGACGCAGAACAAAATGGGGGAAGACGCGGAGAGCGATTTTGCTATTCCTTAATTAAGTCGACGAAAACGACTACAGCGAGATTTCTGCGAAAGCTGTGTCAGCGAAACCGAAATTAAAAAAGAATCGCCCTTCCTCTCTTGTATAGAGCTAACAGTAGAGCAGGGAAATCCTTAACACACTGAATATTCTCTTAGGATCATTTATAATTCACCGTTTGAAGAGAGCAATTTCTGGTTTGATGTTTATTTATTTCAGTCTTTATAGCGATTATTCCTACCCACTTACTTTGTCAATTGTTGGCGAACCCTCCTAAAGCTGAATTTCAAGGGACCATATTCAAGCTCAGAAAGAGAAATAAAATTTCGTCTTTGCTTATTTACGTCCTCCATAAAACGCGAAATTAGGCATTTTCACATCGTAATCGTGCAAAAACGGGAAAGAAATGAACAAAAAAGTCTGTTGCACGTGCGAAGTTTTGTTGTTTTGCTAATTAAACCTATTGTTTTTTCGACGTTCTAGTTGTCGTCCGCGTCGTTGGATCTTAACTCCCTAAATTGTACAAACGACCGGTTTCAATAGACCGGCGAAATTTCTCATTTTATTAAAGCACTGAGGTTACGACAACTTCGAGTTAAACTGATTTCACGGGTTGTCAAAGAGCCCAGCCGATTCCTTTTTCCCCGGTGAGCGCCGACTCATTTCGCTTCAATATTCAGGAATGCTCTCGATCTTTTTACGCTTTCATTGCCTCTCGCCCGACATGTTTTGCACGGCGTTTGGTCATCATGCGAAACCTCCACGAAACATCCACGCCTCGCGCGAGGTAACTTTATCCCGATTCTAAAAATAACCCGAGACGAATTACCTATGGAATAGGGTGTATATGGGGGATGCCCTCTCTGTCCCCTTTATAGTCTCTTGCTTTCCGCTGAATATTGTTTAAAAGAAAGCTTAGCTTATTTTTCTCTGAAAATTTGATCATTGATCCGCGTTTAATAACAAGATTAAAATCAAGATTCAGTTTATATATCTTTCGAATTTTATACCCCTTTTATCTCACAATAGCGAGCTCTTTTCTCTGTTTGTATCCCAACAATAAGTTGGTAGACTAAACATTGTAACTATAATTATATTCGAAACATCAGGGGTTCAAAATTCAGCACTTCAGCGTATTGAATCCAGCGATTACTATCTACATTCAGTATCTAAACATACTTTAAACATATTTTAGTCTATACTAAGCGATCGTTGCATAGCAAAGAAAAAATATTTTGACAAGTAGTCAGTCATACTTAAGAGACTATAGTGTACGTTGTAGTACGTTGTAGTTTGTATACTTGATACAAAATGACTGTATTTTATAAAGCAATCGAGGAAACGTTTATTCAAGTATGTTTAATTATTCTTTTAAAAATTCACTCTTTATTGCACTAAATAAAGTTCATAAAATCAATCTTGTGGTAAACGACATGCCATTGTCGCCACATTTTGGAAATGACCACTTAGAGTTATATTGCTGATACCGAATTAGACAAATATCTCTTGCAAATACATCAAAACTCAGAGTAAAGTAAAGTAAAATCTTAGGAAAAGGGCATTTGGGATTTTTGAAATCATTAATACATCTTTTCCTTTTTCTTTAAATCCCAGAATGAGGTGAAATTAACTATTTTATTGCGGTAATTAGCAATCACTACTAAGCATAGAATATTGGTCCAGCTCTTTCAAATACCACTCGTCAATCAAATTCCCTACGAATGAAACAATTTCCGCAGCTTCTACCCTTTTTTATAATATAGCAACCACAAGGCATGAATTTCAAGAAGAGGAAGTGTTAGATTTTTGCTTGATTCACCCCCTTGATTCACATTGCTGTCTTCATATGTAATGAGTGAATCTGTCGCCATGTTGGGTCTTAATTTGTCATCATTACCACCTTAAACCATTGGACAATATAATAAAAACCTTGTTGCCTTGAACAGCAGGTAGTACACAGTTTTAAAACTTTAAGTATTAAAACTCATTTAGCTTTGAAAAATTACGAAAATAGAAAGGATAATGACAGGAACTGCAGTTAATATACTATATTTTGCCTTGTCCAAAAACGTGCTCTGAAAGTCATTGATATGGAATGACTCAAGTCACGTGTCATTCGTTGAGGATCTGATACTAGTTGCACTTCTATTAGTGCAGTTTGGCTTACAAGCGAAAGCAATAATAATAATAATAATAATAATAATAATAATGATAATAATAATAATAACCAACCTGTTTTAAAAATAAGGTAAACCTTTATTAACATATGATCAATTTACATTCCACTATAATCATAGACTAAATTTTTGTTGATGTAAAACATATCAGTTGATCTTAAAATACTAATTTCTAAGCTCACGTCATTATCGACTTTCTAAAATTAGCGGGCACACGCTTGGCTAGCGTTTAAGCGGCAGTCATCATACGACCAACCTTTTTTTGTTTATTCATTAGGCAATGAGTAGCTATTACATCCCAAAGTAGAAACGTCTGTAGTTTGCCACTTGTTTTGTTATTGTTTCTGTACTTTAATTCTTAAAACGTGGTACTAGCTTAACAGCATCGCATCTTTGATCTCGACGAGGAGGACAGAAATTTCAAAGTCTTCACGATCCTGTGTTCAAGAGTTTGAGCAGTGCCATAAAAGAAGCAATTTTTGGAAAATATCTGTTAGTTTATCTCGAAACCATTCGACAAGTTGTTAAACTGAGATCACGTGCAAGGTCAAATAGAATGCTCGAATACTTGCACGCTCTTTCTCTGCCAGAACCCTGCGTTCCTGTTTTTGACGTCCCCGCGTCTCCGTCCCACACGTCCCTGCGTCCCATACTTGATGTCCTCAAGTCCCCCGTCTCGCGTCCCCAAGTCCCAAGTCCCTACACACGCGTCCCGATGTTCCCGTCCCCTTGTCCCCGTCCCACTTTTATACACAGCCTTTTTTCCGTGCACTTTGGTCAAGGACTGTTCGTGAAATATGTCGCTTTCTTCTGGTTCTTACATAGTTTCACAGGCCACGCTTGTAGGATTAACAGGCGATTGTTATTGTTGTTGTTATATTTTAACGCAGCTGTTTTCATCGTGAAATCTAAAAGATCTTACAGTCCACAGCGGATGCTCCCGTTCTCGACAATGTTTACCTTTTGCTGGATAAATAACAGACTATGCAAACATCTTGCAGGGAACAGCACCATCTCTTGTGAAAATTATTTCATTCAAATACTTTCGTGAGTCTTCTCTTCTAAAGCAAGTGAAGCGAGCATACTTTCGCTTCCCATCGCCGTGCCGAATCGCATGAATCCTTAACTTTCCTTGAGAAACGATCTCGGGAAAGTAAAGGCTATTCCAGCTAGAGTAAAATCTTATTTTTGGTGGCCCTCAGGCATGCAACAACTCGAAGCAAACCATATCGATCGACCCAATCGCTAAGACGCGCAGTCAAAACAAAACTCCTGAGGCCTCACTAGCCTCGCTTCCGCACAACTAGACCGGGGCCGGCCGTGAGGTCCGCCATATTTGCATTCGGTGTATATGAGGGTTCAAATAGGGTGGTATTTTTGACGGTTAACGGTTAACTTTTTCAAATTTTGACAGCTGATGGCTAAGTTTTAGAGCTTTTGACGGTTGTTGGTTTACTTAGAAAAAATTAGTCCCGACCATGAGTTGAAGAAACATAGTAACTTCTGTTTTAATTTATATTAACTGTTGTGTTTTGAAGGTTGTCTTGGCTTTTGAAATATTTTCAGATATAAGCAAGTTGTAAGGTCTTGCAATGTCTAGAGAGAGTGTCTTTGCGAACATGGGAACTGTTTTTTAAGACCCTCATGTATGAATCATTATAGGTGTCTGAGAAACTGCCCAACTACCCTTCCCCTAAGCCAACATTAACACTTACTTCTCACTTAGGGCAGAATGTTGGCTTAAGGGAGGGATAGGTTGGCAGTTTCTCAGAAACTTATAATGTAGTACTCATAGATTTCTGTCGCCACCTGCAGCACCAACGCCCGTGGATGGAGGTTTTTCTGAATGGAGTTCATGGAGTCAGTGCTCCTGTAATCAAGTGACAACCAGGAATAGAAGCTGCACCAATCCCGCTCCAGCATTTGGAGGGAGACCATGCCAAGGGCATGTAAAGGAAGATCAGTTTTGTAGTAATACTAATTGCCGTAAGTATGTAACTTTCCTAGATTTATAAGTTCAGGAATCGTGTTATACAGTTAATTGGCATTGTTATACATTGTACTCATCATCTTTCTTCTCATTACGGTTAAGAGCCTACAGTTTATTTAGGAAAGCAGCGCAACCAACAGATTAGTTAGTTATCTGCTAGTAGATTAACGGCTTATCTTTAGGTTTGGCGCGCAATACATGATTTCCAAGAGCAATGTAAGACTTTGTCCATGCAACAGTGTGCGTGTGTTTCGTTATTTCAAAACAATGTATAATAAAACAATATTAGATTTAGTTTTTGTTTTATCCACAATAAACAAGGTCGCGGTTGTTATCAGCCTCAGCCTTCGGCTTAACTGACAACACTTACCTCGACCTTCATCACTGTCAATATCACAAAAACCTCGTCTAATAATTGTTCATTGCAAAGGTAAACATTTGGCGGTGACCGTGACATCAAGTCATATCATAATGAAGTTGGTATATTCGAAGTTGTTAAGGAGACACCTTTTTTCATTATAGTCTCCTTTTCTCTCGTCACGCGACGCTTCTCCCCACAAAAACGGCTGCGTGGGAGACTAGCATTAAATTTTCGCAACCTTGAATTATCAGCAATTTGTTGTTGATGGTCACGAGGTGATGTTAACCAACACCACCAACAAACAAACGCATTTCCTAAACGCATGGATTTACAATAATGATTTGACATTATGACACTCAATGACCTGTTCCAGGTTCCAAGATAGTGAGGAAAGCTGCCTGAAAGCAAGAGTAGTGGAGCCTATAAGCACTGTTTTCAATACCTCATAGGGTATACCATACCTGGTATACCCTATGATTGGTCAATTTTGACTGTTCGCCAATCATTTGCCTTCCTGCGCGCAGATCCTAACAAACATGTCGAGCATGTGAAACCCTCCTACACCGCACCTTTCGACGTTTTGACATTTGAAATTTTGTCACGAGAAACTGTTTTTCAAGAAGTGGGCGTATTTGAATATTGGAAAAGATGCTTACAGGCTGCCCCCTTCTTTCTTCCTAACTTTTTTCGCTCATTCGCTATTTTACTGCTTGCTCACTGACCGAAAGTCTGGTACAGGCTTGGGACTCACATCCTTTCAGGTTCTAACAGTGGTCTTTTTTCTTTTTACGTTGCAGCACCAAATTGGTCAAACTGGGGCAGTTGGACTACCTGTAGTGCAACTTGTGGAAGAGGTATAAGGACTCGAGCACGCCTCTGCAACAATCCTCCACCACCACCTGGTGGTAACGTGTGCTGTGTTGGATTACCAATTCAGACAGAAGGGTGCACGGTTCGCGATTGTCCAAGTAAGCCTCGATGCACTGTAATATATAGATTTACCCAAGGCTAACAGCGAACCTGCCGTTAGTGAATTCATAATATTATTCACTTCAAACAGTAAACTTGTAGCCATTGCAAAGAAATCCATTTAGAGTTCAGCCTGCGATCAGTTGAAAACTAGGAACTAGTCAGCGGATAACTTCAAAAAACACAGGCCACATCGATGGGTCGACACATGAACCCGCGATATGATCATATTTTACTAGTCTGCGGATGTGCTGTTTAAACAGCTGTAAATTGACCACAACGTGGATGTACAATTTCATCACCATCATTATCATCATCATCATCATCAAATTTCTCCTTGTAATAGCAATTCTTCGGAAACATATTGGTGATGCGAATTAAGGAAATGATCAAACAAGATGACTCTAATTGATACTTCAAAAATTCCCCTCACAACTTCTAAAGAAAACCTATAGGTACAACAAATAATGAGAATCTGAAATTTGATGTAAGGGTGTACAGAGTTAAAAACTATAGACTAAGAGTGTGAACACAGTTCCGAAGCTTTTTGTCGCCAAAGGATTTCGCTCGCAGACAAAAAAGGAGGCAATTAAGTCAAGCATTACAAAACAATCTACAAAATGTCATTGTTGTCACACTTCCTTTTTTGTGAAGGAGAAAAACAACCTAACCGTTTCAAAACCATTTCAGGTGGTTAACCTGACCAATACTCAACTTACCGAGCCTTTTTTTATTTTAGCGACGTCACCTCCAACTTCAACATCTCCACAAACCACAACGTCACTTCCTAAAACGACTAAACCCCCAAGCACTACAGCGTCGCCAGATACTACAATATCTTTTGCCCCAACGGCAGGTAATGATTATAATAGCCTCAGATACTGCCACTATGACCACAGACGTTCCAAACTTACGTGAGCGCACGTTAAAAGTTAACACATCTGCTAACAATGCTTAACGTAGCGTTTTATAGCGTTAATATGGGAAAAATAACAAAAGGCGGGGCAGCAAAACCAGCCCAAACACTTTTTGAAAAGACACAGGAACACAAAATACAGCAGCAGGTAAGTTTATTTTAAATCTTTCCTACAAGATAAGGTACGATGAGACGACATTTGTTTCCCATTTGTTATTTTTCCACGTAAACTCTATAAAACACAGATGTATTAATTTTTTTGCGCTTTTAGTTTTTAGAAACTGCCCCTGTTTAGCTTTGGTATAAATGCATTGGACCAGTGATCACCCTTGCTCCCTCAACCGGTTTGGACAGGACAATCAGTTTTAACTATACAACGGTCAACTCTTAATCTTAGTTGAATAAATAGCTATCATTTTTTTAGAAGATAGCTTTCAGTTCCTGTTGAAGAAGGCAACATTTTCCAAACAGGGAAGACAGGTTAAAATGTCTAGCAAAGATGAGCACTTCTAGGCCGAAACTCTTGGCAAATCATCGGTTTTTTGGGTTGATTAGCGTTCACAACACGCTTAGAACAGAGGAGTAACATCTTGAATGATATATGAGGGTTCAAATAGGGTGGTAGTTTTGACGGTTAACGGTTAACTTTTTCAACTTTTGAAAGCTGATGGATAAGTTTTAGAACTTTTGACGGTTGGCGGTTTACTAAGAAATAATTAGTCCTGACCATGAGTTAAAGAAACATAATGACTTCTGTTTTAATTTATATTAACTGTTGTGTTTTGAAGGTTGTGTTGGCTTTTCAATTAAGAAATTTTGAAATAGTTTCAGATATAAGCAGGTTGTAAGGTCTTGCAATGTCTAGAGAGAGTGTCTTTGCGAACATGGGAACAGTTTTTTAAGACCCTCATGTATGAATCATTATAGGTGTCTGTGAAACTGCCCACCTACCCTTCCCGTAAGCCAACATCCACAATTACTTCTCACTTAGGGCAGAATGTTGACTTAAGGGAGGGATAGGTTGGCAGTTTCTCAGAAACTTATAATGTAGTACTCTAATAGATTTCTGTCGCCACCTGCAGCACCAACGCCCGTGGATGGAGGTTTGTCTCAATGGAGTTCATGGAGTCAGTGCTCCTGTAATCTGGTCAGAACCAGGACTAGAAGCTGCACCAATCCCGCTCCAGCATTTGGAGGGAGACCATGCCAAGGGCATGTAAAGGAAGATCAGTTTTGTAGTAATACTAATTGCCGTAAGTATGTAACTTTCTTAGATTTATAAGTTCAGGAATCGTGTTATACAGTTAATTGGCATTGTTATACATTGTACTAATCATCTTTCTTCTCATTACGGTTAAGAGCCTACAGCTTATTTAGGAAAGCAGCGTAACCAAAAGATTAGTTAGCTGTCTGCTAGTAGATTAACGGCTTATCTTTAGGTTTGGCGCGCAATACATGATTTCCAAGAGCAATGTAAGACTTTGTCCATGCAACAGTGTGTGTGTGTCGTTATTTCAAAACAATGTATAATAAAACAATATTAGATTTAGTTTTTGTGTTATCCGCAATAAACAAGGTCGCGGTTGTTATCAGCCTCAGCCTTCGGCTTAACTGACAACACTTACCTCGACCTTCATCACTGTCAATATCACAAAAACCTCGTCCAATAATTGTTCATTGCAAAGGTAAACATTTGGCGGTGACCGTGACATCAAGTCATATCATAATGAAGTTGGTATATTCGAAGTTGTTACGGAGACACCTTGTTTCATTATAGTCTCCTTTTGTCTCGTCACGCGACGCTTCTCCCCACAAAAACGGCTGCGTGGGAGACTAGTATTAAATTTTCGCAACCTTGAATTATCAGCAATTTGTTGTTGATGGTCACGAGGTGATGTTAACCAACACCACCAACAAACAAACGCATTTCCTAAACGCATGGATTTACAATAATGATTTGACATTATGACACTCAATGACCTGTTCCAGGTTCCAAGATAGTGAGGAAAGCTGCCTGAAAGCAAGAGTAGTGGAGCCTATAAGCATTGTTTTCAATACCTTATAGGGTATACCATACCTGGTATACCCTATGATTGGTCAATTTTGACTGTTCGCCAATCATTTGCCTTCCTGCGGGCACAGGCGGTGTTGGACACGGTCCACGTGACCAATTTTGTCCAATCAAATCATTGTAGATGGCGGACTGATTCTTTCACCTTGGTGCGGGTAGTCTCTTCGATTTTCTTCGATTTTCGCCGTTTATCAAGTGATTTACGACAATTTTTTTTGGAAAAGTTTGAGTAGACAGATGTAGCAAGCCGCAGTTCTTAAAACAATATGATGTATGTTTGTTTTCTATTGATATTGTTCGTTGTAATTCTTCATGCGCATAATCCTTTTGTTTAGTTAAGAGCTATTGTTTATGCTTTTCAGTCTACATCTTCTCTTTGTTCAACGACTCCTGACCTCCATTTTTAGCATAATCTATTAGTTTTGTTGTTCAAGAATCTGAAATGGTCGGCGGGCCCCAGCGGGCCCCGCCGTTTTGCGGGTCAAAATGCCACTTGAAATATACCTACGTGCGTGAATCGTGACTCCATTCCGCGGCATCTTTAGTATTATAAATATACTCGCGCGGTCACGATCAGAGAGGCTTTCACTACACGAAAACTTTCACTACACGATCAGCTCAGAATACTTTCTTTCATTTCCTTTTTATTCGTCTTTAAAAATATGATATTTTTTTGCAATATATATGTCATGGAAGCGGCCCTTAGGCCCTCCTTTTTGAATAGTTCCTTGGCTTCTTCCTTCTGCCCTTGTCCGCAAAGAGTTAAACCTTCTGTGCGAGATTCTTCATGATTCCTAATAAATCATACACCCCCCGAACAGATAAAACTGAATTGATACGGAAAAAAATGACTAGAAAACCTTCGCTAACTTGCTTTTGTCCTCAACAACAAAAAGTTAGCGGAGGAGAATTCCACATTTGCCTTGCCCTCCAGCCTCTTCTGGAAAACCAGAATAGGTTGCACATTATTTTCGACGAGAAGATCAGTATCCTTCATCACATGTCAATGTACCTGAAAAGAAAATCTGAGGTGAGAAGAGCGCTAAAGAGAAGCTTACGTTCAAAATCAAGCACTTTAGGCACATGTAAGAATGAAGTGTTGATACGTACCGCGTTGCTTCGATCTCAAAATTATCTCTTCGACACAGAAAATAACAGTTTTGTGAAGCCAGCAGTAAACGTCGATTGCGGCCACCTTTCTGGACAAAGATCTCACATGAACATCGCATGTTATGTCCTTTAAAAGCGGAAGAAGACCTGTAATGCCCATATCACACTATTTCTCCCGGTATTTTTATGGCGTAACGAGAGATGTGAACAGAGCGAAGGTCAGATGCAAATGAGCCGTTTTTGATTTTTTCCCCATGATGCCCTTCGGACCGTGTCCAACACCGCCTGCTGCGCGCAGATCCTAACAAACATGTCGAGCATGTGAAACCCTCCTACACCGCACCTTTCGACGTTTTGACATTTGAAATTTTGTCACGAGAAACTGTTTTTCAAGAAGTGGGCGTATTTGAATATTGGAAAAGATGCTTACAGGCTGCCCCCTTCTTTCTTCCTAACTTTTTTCGCTCATTCGCTATTTTACTGCTTGCTCACTGACCGAAAGTCTGGTACAGGCTTGGGACTCACATCCTTTCAGGTTCTAACAGTGGTCTTTTTTCTTTTTACGTTCCAGCACCAAATTGGTCAAACTGGGGCAGTTGGACTACCTGTAGTGCAACTTGTGGAAGAGGTATAAGGACTCGAGCACGCCTGTGCAACAATCCTCCACCACCACCTGGTGGTAACGTGTACTGTGTTGGATTACCAATTCAGACAGAAGGGTGCACGGTTCGCGATTGTCCAAGTAAGCCTCGATGCACTGTAATATATAGATTTACCCAAGGCTAACAGCGAACCTGCCGTTAGTGAATTCATAATATTATTCACTTCAAACAGTAAACTTGTAGCCATTGCAAAGAAATCCATTTAGAGTTCAGCCTGCGATCAGTTGAAAACTAGG